GCTCAAAACGGAGAGTTTTTATCTGAGGTCTCTGAGGTTTTTTGAGGCGTTGACTCTATTTAGAACATCGATGTTTGGATCAAAAATACAAGAAATCAGAGTAAAAGGTTAAAATTGAAGCTGTTATGGTGATAGAAGTATTTACTACAAGCTACATCTAAACAGGTGAAAAAGAGAGAAATGCTAAAGGATGGATGGATGGATGGATGGATGGATGGATAATGGATGGATGGATGGATGGATGGATAATGTATGGATAATGGATGGATAATGGATGGATGGATGGATAATGGATGGATGGATGGATGGATGGATGGATGGATGGATAATGGATGGATAATGGATGGATGGATGGATGATGGATGGATAATGGATGGATGGATGGATAATGGATGGATGGATGGATGGATGGATGGATGGATGATAGATTGATAGATGGATGGACTTTATTGATCCCAAGCTGTGGTCTTGTTTGGGGTGGTGGTCTGGTCTGGTTCTGGTTAGTTCCTCTCCCAGTTTGCCTCAAGTTTTGGCCCAGTTTCCCCCCAGTTTCCTACCAGTTTTCTCCCAGTTTGCTCACAGTTGGTTCCCAGTTTCCCCCCAGTTTTCTCCCACTTTGCCCCCATTTTACCCCCAGTTTGTCCCCAGTTTTCTACCACTTTGCCCCAAGTTTTTTCCCAGTTTGCTCCCAGTTTGTCCCAGTTAACCTCCAGTTGTTTCCCAGTTTGCCCCCAGTTTCCCCCCCCTGTTGCTCCCAGTTTCCCCAAAGTTTACCCCCAGTTTCCTACCAGTTTCCCCCCCAGTGTAGCTTCTTTTCCAGCAGAGTTTTGTAAAAACCATCCTGTAAACATTCGGATTATTTTTTATTTCTGGACAGAAACAGAAGCTGCTGCTTTTTTTGTCCTTGCAGAGCAAAAATCGGAGTCATTTTCTCTTAAATTTCTGCTTTTATTTGCTTTTTTTGCTTAGCTTTTCTTCTCCTCTGTGAGCTTTCCTCTTTGGTTTGAGGCCCTTTGGCTCTTTATTCCATTAAATGTTGCTTTCCTGCTCCCGATGAGTAAATTATGGCTCTCTTTTGTGGCTTCAGGTGTAAAAAGGAACATTTCAAGTGTCATTTAAATGAATCGGAGCCGTTTATTATTGTGAAGTGACATTTAAACCACTTATGTGAACAAAAAAGGATCAAATTGGACATTTGATCCCGTTTTTATTCCAATTTTTACGCGTTTCTTCCTTTAAATGGCTGATTTTCTTTCAGAAAACATTTAATCTTTTTTGTCCAATAGAGATATTTAAACAGTAATAGATATTTCAGCCCTTTTTTACCTTTATTTGACCCTTATTGTCTCAGTTTTTACTTTCTGACAGAAATATCTGAGCTTCTGATCCAAACTAGAGTCCAGAATTAGCTCTGATTTCCCCTAAATAAGCTCTGTTAATATCAGATGTTATTAAATATGATCTGATTTTTAAACTAAAACGATGGAAAGACTGAAAGAATCCCACTAATTAATGAGATAATCAGATAAATTACTAGAAGAAATTCAAATAAATTAGAATATCTCCAATTTAAACTCCAAATTTCTGCTTTTTCCTCCAGAACCAGCTCTGATTTTTTTAACTAAATTAGCAGAGTTAACTCTGGTTTTCAAACTAGAGTCCAAAGACCTCAGAGTTTCTCAAGAAAATGTGGAAATAAGTTGATTTCAGACCAAAAACATTCCAACCCTCTGAAAATAGGAGCTGATTTTTCACTAAAATGATGGTTTTTACACCAGAAGCTGAAAGAATCCCACTAATTAATTAGATAGTCAGATAAATTACTAAAATCGATCAAAATGAATCTGAAAATGTGAAATATAAAGTTAGAATGTCCTCTTTTTCCTCCAGAATCAGCTCTGGTTCAAATCAGTGACTTAAAAACTTTAAATCTAAGCAGATTTGAGCGATTAAGTTTGATCTGTTTTGAATTATCTTCCGTTTCCCGACCGGAATTAGCCGACTGGGTTTTGGTTTGGAGATTTATTTTTAAACAGATTTATCTGGAGCTTTTCCAAGTTAAAGGTCACTGGTAATTTAAGGCGGATTAATCTGGACGTAGAGGTCAGGAAGGCTGAGTGTGCACGAGTCGTTTATAAATAAATGTGTTTCTTTAAAAAATTGTTAATACCAAAAATTATTTTTAAAAAAAAATTAAATATAGAATGTAATGATTTCAGAAATAAATCTATATGTATTTAAATGTATTTCTTTAAATCAGTTTAGAAAACTATAATATAATTTATAAATAAAATGTCAGTTATTTATCAGAGTTGGAGCGTTCACAAGTCATTGATCACTTCTAAATACATTTAAAATAATGTAATATAATAATAGTAATTTAGAAATAAGTCAAATTTTATAGTTATTTCTAATTTATATATTAGTCTAATATTTATTTCAATAAATCTATTAATTAAAATTGATTTAGAGTAAATAAATTGAATAATTTAGAATAAAATACATAATTTATTTTATAGTTTATCTTTTGGATTTCACCTCTAACAGGCATCAGTT